AACTAAACTTATATATAATACATTACTTAAAGCTACAAGTAGCAATTTTCTTATGAAAAAAAGCAAAGATTGCATTTAAACTTGAAACTAGAGCTGCATTTCCCTGTGACTGGTGGAATTTAATCATTAAAATTCTAATAAAGTGGTAAAATGTGCTTTTATAAACTTTCCAATATAAAGGGAAGTTAATAAAAATTCATATCAAACTACAACCAAAAGGCGAAGGCAGTCGGGATGCGGTGGCCTTTCTAAGATTCACCCAGATGACAGTTTCAAAAGTCATACTTGATGTATCGTTACTTAGCAACTTTAAAGCACGTGTGTTTTAAAGGCCCTTTTTCGCACGCATTTGAGTGTTTAAAACGGAGATTGTGATTCAGGTATAATAAAAAAGATTGAGTAAGTATCATATTTTATGGGCATTCTCAAAAATCGATTTAATTATCTTGGATGGTGGGTAGCCTACACTGCAGACCTCCAAATTGTTAAATATTGAATCACAAAATGATTACATATATAGTTTTTAGTAAAAAGTTTTCGCTTTCCAGAATACTTCCCACAAATGTCTTACCTCAGTCAATTAAAAACTTGTAGCAGCTTTTTCCTTTACTTGCGCCCTAGTTTTGGTGATTCACCCCTAACAGCTTCTACTAATTAGAAACTCGGAACGAGGACAAAAAGTTTCTACTCGGTAAATTGTTTAGGGAATAATAATGAGAGTAATTTCAACTTTTAAGTACATAAACCTTGGTCTACTTATCTCTTATTATAAACGATCAACATAAATATTACTGTTTAGTGCAGTTTTTGAAAGTTCGCCACTGTCATTCAGGTTTGCTGTCGTGACCGTGACATTTATCCTACAGGAAACGTGCTTTTTATAAACCCAGACAAAACCACCTCAACCGAATTTCGGTATTTAAATGCAAAATAAAATAAACGTGCACTTGTAAAACATGTTCATATTCAACTGAGCGAGAGACATTTTTAAACTCGCTAAACCGCTTCCTTAACCCAATTCTTGAAGTGGTTTTGTTACAATTTATAAAGGTCGCTCTAACGTAACAACTTCCCATCAGATTTATTTCCTTCTGCGGAAATTACGAACTGGTTAGGATAAAGAAAACAAATTGCTTAATGTAATAGGTAACATGTGTGCAAAATATAATGGGGATTAGGATATAAAGTCGAATTAGAAGAACAGACGCAAGGAACCGAATGATGTCTACAAATGGTCGAAGTAAAACATCACGGATTGCGAAGGCAATAATGTGAAAGAAGGGGCAATAAACGTTGATGTAACGTAAGTAATCGACGAGAAAATTTATTTTCTGCCCTTACATCATTTGACATGGAAGAAGTAAAATATGCGAAACTTTTCAAGCAGGAAAGCGTAAGTGAAAAATATACTTCGAAACTCTGTTCTGCAATAAAATATTATGCTTTTGAAACCTTTATATAACGATATATTTATAATGGAGTGTTATAGTTAAGGGAAAGTATTTCGTATTTAGGGTGATTAGGCCGACCGTTTTTTCTCTGAAACATTTCTTCCGGATCCCTTAAGACACATCGGATGATCCATTTTCAGAGTTAAATGAAAATATTACACTGCTGTATTTGAAATTAGTATACCCTTCCTTCACTGTGTCTGTCACGCTGATATTAGAAGAAGCATGGAAAAGCGCGGAATGTGTGAAAGTCGTACAACAAAAATATGAGTGCAAAAAAGCCTTCAGTTAAGGTATTTGTCGTAGGGAACGTGAGCGATGCTTGAACGGTGTGAGAATGCACTTCCACAAGAAGGCAAGGCAGGATACTGGAGGAAATTATGGAAGCATTCGATTTAAGACTCGCAAATGAAAGTTTCGCTGCCATCATCGAGAGACGATGCAATAACATTAGATAATGGTGCTGATTGCTTTCCAAAGTATAAAATTAATACTCAATATTGCAGTGATGGTACTTTAGAATAAACCTCTTTAGAACAAACAATACTAAATAGGCATATGGTATGAAGTAAGAGTCAAGCCACTGTGGTAGTTACCCGCGAAGGCACATTTTCTCATATTCCTAATTCTCGTCATTGACAAGTCGCAAAAACAAGGTGTAGGTACCAGACAATTTTGCACTTTTATCTTCAAATCTGTTAAAATTCTCCGATTTTTTGCAATAAGTAAGCATTTTAAAGCTTGAGATTACGTGTGCCCATTGTTTATGGCTTGAACGCACCTTGTGGCGTATACCTTATTAAAAAACAATTATTATGCATTTTTCCGCTGTCTTTCTCCCCTTACAAGATAAAAAACGGTTTTTTAACAAAAAATCGATTATACTCATAGGTTAATTTTAGCTCATATCTGTCAAATACACAAAATTTTACATAAAACCCGTGCTTGGTATGTAATTATGTAAAAGAACAGCCTCTTATGGATTAAAAAAAGTTGATTGAAAGCGTGAATTTGTTACGGCTATGTGTGTTCGTTTTCTTTGTAATTACTTGTGTGTCTGTGTCTGTTATATTTATATATCTACTATTTTTATTATTGAAGTGTAAATAATTGTTATTGCAATTCTACTTACTAATAAACTTATGATTATGATTATTATGATATCATAGGACTACTTGTTGGTGCTCGCCAGGGTGCTCGCGGATCAATTACCACTTTTTTCAAACAATTTTCCCACACTTTTGGATTACCATCAAAATTGCTAAAATTATAGCAATAACTACTATAAAAAAATTCCATTTACAATTTTAAGAAATCATTTATATAATTAAATTGTTTTTTTTTTTTTTTTCATGTTCAAATTTGTATTGTATCCTTTGTCTCACAGCAACCCAGAGAGTTGGGAAGGTGTAATTTATACAACTGAAATCCAGCATACAGAATGTAAAAATGTAAACACAACAGCACGGTACGCGTACCACGTAAGTGACTGGGGGCCTGTACTTATCGCAGTTCGCGAAACGAAAAAAGAAGTTATGCAAAAATGCTATAATCCGATCGGGCCCAATCTAAACCATCCGGGGACACACAGAGTCACATTAAAAATTTCCTCAAAATCCGTCCACTCATTTACGAGGGGTTCAGTCATGAACACACGTAGGTACAGAAGAATTTTAGCTTTTCCTATGTTTAGTCGAAACTAGTAGAGATGGGGAAAAATTGCAATTTTACCAACTAAATTTAATAAGCTTTTCCATTTTTGAAAACAAAAATGCATGACTAACTAGAGACCTAAAAAAAGTTCTGTCATTATTGACAGTAACAGGAGGCGATCCTGGACCATTTCAAGGTCGCCCGCCACATGGCGTGGTGATCTTGGAAAGTAGATCAAGGTCACGTGGCGGTAACCTTGGAAATTAGGCCAAGATTAAAATCGCGTGTCACGTGGTCGTGACCTTGGAAATTAGGTCAAGGTAAAAATCGCGTGCTACGTGTTTATGTGGTAACAAATTACAATTTCAAGGCCACAGGAGGGCACAATGACTTAATCTTTCCTGGTGCCAATTACATCCTCGAGGTCATCCAAGGTCAATGGACCCACTTTTTGAGGTCTCAAATAGCATTTTCAAGAGCATACAAGGTCAATGGTCCCTTTTTTGCGGTGTCAAATACCATTTTCAACAGCATACAAGGTCAATGAACCCATTTTTGCCGTGTCAAATTATATTTTCAAGATCATCCGAGGTCAAGGGCCTTATTTTTTTATGTAGTGCGTAATTGCATTATCAAAGTGAGTCAAAGTCAATGAGCTCACTTTTATGTTGTGTTTAATTATATTGTCGAGGCCATCCCAGGTCAATGTACCTATTTTTTTTCGATGTCAGGTTACATTTCCAAGGCCGAATCAAGATATTTGTTTTGCGCATGCGCAATCTAATTTTTAGCGCATTTCTACAACAATTATAAAAATGCGCTATTGTGGCCACTTTGTCCATCCGTCCGTCTGCCCACCCGTCCCTCCGTCTGTCTATCCGTCCGTCTGACTGTCCATTTGTCCGTCCGTCGCTGCTAGTTCTTTATATTAAGAACTATTGTTCTACTTTTTTCGTTATTTGGTTTGTTATGGTGTCGAGGCTTGCACCAAGGAAGGGATTTTTTCTGTGCTGCTCAAGAAGAAAGTTATGGTAAAAAATCTGTGTTTTTCATGTACCATAATTTTACTTTTGCCGTTTATGAACGATCCTCGAGATCGTTTGTAATGTTTTATTCCTGTCTTCCCGTCTGTCTGTCCGTCTGTCTCTCCGTCCGTCTGTCTGTCCGTGTGCAGTTGTGCGTTGTCCACGATAACTTTTGTATTTGCGCAACAATACAATTTTCCTTTGTTAAAATATTTAAACGAAATTTTGTATGGAGGCACTTCGAATAGAGGTAAAACTAATGCCTATTCGAATAAATTTGTTTTGCGCATGCGATCCCACTAAAAACACGCAAAACAATAATTGTTGCGCATGCCCAGACCCACATTCGTTATTTGTGAACCAATTCTAAAATTTTGGAGTAGGATTCTTCTTCTAAACTGAAATTGAAGTATATCATATCAAAAATGTATTGCACATATGCAACTCTAACTTTCTTTTTTTTTGTGTGGACCCTTAACGCCAGTATTGAGGCCTATAAGCGTGTTTATACGTATTTAATAAATTACCAAGCCACATATCTAGCATAAGAATGTGTACCGAATTTATAAATACACTAAAATCGTAATTATACCTACTATCAGTTTGCGACGTAGAAATGTTCAGTCAATCCATTCCATCAATAATTTTCTTTTATTGTGGCATTTTTTGTGTTTACAGCCGCTTCTTATTGTTTGTTTACCTGGAATGCAGTTAATTTTCTCTTTCATTTTATTAACTAAATTATTGATCGTAGGGACGTTTTTTCACTCTTCAAGACGCCTAAATCAGAATTTTATCCAGTGATATTTTGTTGGAACTCGCACTCTTCGTCGTTCTTTTGAAGGAGATTTCCAGTAACAGCGATCCGGGCTTACTTTGAGTTCTGCGCGTGCGCCAATTCCAAGGTCATTTGAAGTAGGTCATCGTTGTTGTTGTTGTCTAAACTCACTGAAGGTCCTGGTAGTTGTTGTCTAAACTCACTGAAGATAATCGTGGTTGTTGTCTAAACTAAACGGTAGGTATTTTCCTGAACTAATGTGAAGGTGAAACGTAGATGCCGCCAGTTCTATGCGCTACCTTCAAGGCCGATGGCATTAGTTGAGTTCATAGAGTGTTCAAGGTCGATTTCTTAAAATTCGATCGCCGATTATGGTGGCGGGGACATGTCTGTTCATCAGAAACAGGTGATGTAAGGATTCTGAGCAATATTCGAAACGCAACAGATCCAGGAAATCTATTTTTAAACAAAATTCGATATAAAGGCTAACCCTCGCTCATGAAAAATTTGCAAATAGTGGTTTCTGGAGGATCGCTTTTATCAAGCCTCAAATTTATGCTGCACCACTATATAAACACTCAGTTTCGCAGAGGTGGTAAACTACACTAAATACAAATTCAATAAGCAACCTTATAGTCGATACTATTAACCGTGTATAAATGTAATTGATCATTAAATTACAATTAATTAAGCTACAAGTATATAATATTATAAATTTCTTTTTTAATCGTATAATGAGAGAATGTGGACGGCGGATTCAGTATATATGTGAAATGAAGCGTATACTTTGTAGATCTGCGAAAGAGTCGTTTATAGAATTCTTTCATACACTCCGTTTGAAATGAGGGTTCTAACTTTATAATTTGAAAACTTCAGCAACCGATCTAAACGTTTATAAAGTACCAGATGCTACAAAAATTCGGTAGGTAATCCCTCTTTCAGTTTAAAAATCGCATCTTTCAACTAGGAAATGAAAAAAAACTTACATCATTACTTGCGAAGGGTGTTGCAATTGGACCATCGCTGGTTTCCCATTTGTTAGCGATTCGAATGGTTTCCGCTGTTTTTTGTTGAATTGATTTAGTTTCATCCAAAAGCGTTAGTTCGTAAAATTCTTGTATGTCTGAAATGAAAGAAAAAGAAAATTTAGACAGAATCTCCAGATTATTGTTCTTTCAAAGAATGTTTAACCAAACTTACAATGCATACAGACAGCTTCCACGAGCAAAAATAAATAAAACGAATATATTAGAAAGGAATAAAAGGTTTCTTTAAGATTTATGCGAGGTATATTGATTTGTGAGCACAGGAATATAACACATGTTCCTCGAAATAAGATTCCTTCTCTTTTGTTGGGGATGTTTATCAATAAACACAGAGAGGACAAAAGTGAAAAAAAACCATTTCGTTCTTGTATGTATATAAAATCCTATATCGCAAGCATATTGCAATTCTTCCAACCTATACGGCGGCGTTCAATTAAAATATAAGTAGCAATAGATTGGTTGGTTGGAATTTTCTAAATTTTTATGTCAATATTAAAATGGAAACAAGCGAATTTTTACAATGAAGCCAGAAAAGTGTCTCGCAGCAATATAGGCACTTTTTATTAAATTTAATAGACAATATGGTTTTATATCGGATATCAAAGTTTACGCGCAATCGAAATTGTTATGAATTAAATTTCCAAAGTTTTTAATGTGTTTTGGTCCCATCTAAATAAGACTATTATAGTGGGAAATGGAGACATTAATAGGTAATAGTAGACTACGGTTGTTATGTTACGACTAACACAAAATATTTAGAGCTGTTATTTCCACAAAAGTTAGAAAATTATTCATTTCTGATGAGAAACTACGCAAATAAGAATCATGCAATGACATTTTCCATTTTCCTAACGAGAGGCGATTTTTGCGTAATCAGAAAAGTAACTGTCTGGTATGGCATAAAAACGCGTTTTCATCCACGGTTATGTTAACCGGCATCCCGTATTTTCCTTTGTTATACTTACACCTATGCAAGTGATTTCATTGAATTGCATTTAATTCGACGTATGGTTGGGTTCCTTTCTAGGAGCATTGATTATACACACTAGTGTTAGTTTTATTGATTATTGTTGTCAGTTTTATTGATTATACACACTAGTATAATCAATGCTAGGGGTAAACACGGTTAACGGGTTTTTATCAGTATAAGTATCAGGATTGCTTGGAAGATTATTTGCGGGAAGCTCAAGTTTTCTAATTTGTGTGATTTCTGATCGAGATTTATGTATCAAATTAAAAGTTTCTTGTTTTGATGAACAACTACAGAAAAGAATCTCGCAACTTCCACTTTCTATACACGTCTTTTTATCAATGCAGTGCCCGACATGCATGACTTGTTAAGTTGTTACAAAATTTGTTTCTAAGTAGACAAAAATCACACCACGTAATCGAAAAGAAGGGAACACTTCAGAATGAAATTTGGAGAAAAGGGAACATTAGATTAGAAGTTTGCGTAGTTAGTGGCTAAAGTTTGAACATCACGCTAGAGCAACTCGTATAAGAAACGTTAACCACACGAACGCAGTTTAAATTTCTAATAAAGGCTTTAATTTTTCATTCAAAGTTAGGTTAAACTGTCGAAATTGCTTTAATTAGAGGCCAGGGACTGCATTTGATAACTAAACCGTTTTAATTACGTTAGCTTGAAATTTATGGAAGTTTCTAAGCTATACGTGTGCAAAAGTTTTTATTTGCGCAAAAATATTTAAATTTAGTTTTTTAGTTTTATGAGGTATGACAACTGTATTTCAATTGCAAATTCTGTTTTAAAAATCCTCTTAGTTATTCTCCAAGTTTAAGCAAAGTATACAGTGGTTAAGGATAGGTATTTGTATCACAATTCCAGCATTTTGTGGAAGTAAGTACACAAAATGTACACAAATTATATAAGTGTGTAGCATTGCAACTATTTGCATTTGATACGACACATTTCAACAGCTGTAATTCTGAAACGTGACTTTTTACATTCAACATTTATATTATATTCCTTTTGGTAACCGTTACGTTTTATTGGTAGAGTTCTTATTTCTAAGTTCTTTATTTTCCCGCTAGAGGTCATGCATATGTAGTTTCTGTGGTAAAATATCCTTTTTTTGTCTTCTGCGTGCCCATGCCCTGTACTGAAGAACAGATTGGATCGTGACTTGTAAGAAAGTAGAACATGGTGCTATGACAAACTTCATCATTACTATTAATAAGGGTTTTAATAGTGTGATAATTTTGTGAAGTTTCTTTTCTTTCAATTTGACGGGTTATGCTCACAAATCCGTTTAATAGAAACCTCCTGATATTATAAGGTATTGACAAATATAACATTCGATCTTAACTTATTTGAGCCTACTTCCTTTTCATCTTTTTGATCTTCGTCCTCGGGCCAATATTTTTTTTGAAGAAAGTGATAGTACACCAAGTATAATTAATTACCATTATTGCATTAATGATAAGGTAAATAAATCATTTCGATGAAAGCGTTAATAATTATGATGCCATGTTTATGAAACATCTCGATAAAATTTCAAAAAAATTTAAAAACTATGAATTAATTTTATCATTAACATTAATCTGGGTATTATACACCAAAATAAAACAATAGAACGTGTACGTTTCTTATTAAACCTTGATGACAAAATGAAATTAGCAGTGAAATTGTTTTTACCGCAGCAAATGTTCAAAACGTTCACCACTGCAAGGGAGTGGCCTAACGTATCATGAAAAGTTTGAACAAAAATTAATTTCTTGTATAAGGGTGTTCAAGGGTATTTCTTGTGTAAGGGTATAAGGGTGTAAAGGTGTGTATAAGGGTGTCATTGAAAAGAAAAAAAATCTCTACCAATGAGCCAAATTAAAAAAATTCAATTGTTTTTCGTTACTCATTTGTTTTCTAAAAAAAACAACTGAATACTGCCATATTATGACAAATTATATATTAAACAACTTTTATATAGAAAAATTTATACACTCGTTTTTTTACCGAGATATATACTATATTTCATACATAGTGGGTATTTATTATGGATATAGGTAGGTATTTACCATTACATTCAAAATGTATGTCTATTTGGTTATTTATTTATTGTAATAATCAATAATAAATGCCTCTAGGTATCCGTATGATCTACATGAGGGGCGTAGACTTCAAATGAATTTCAATTCCGATGGTTTCTTATTAAAATGTTCTTGACAATTATTGCTAAAAATCGTATATCTTATGCAATTCTATGTCGTTATGTGTAAAAATCGTTATTTTAAATTTTTGTTTTACGCCTATTTATTATTTACGATTTCATAAATTTCAAAGTCACTTTTTGAATAAAATTTCTATTTTTTTAAATTTATGTAAACATGGTTCACTCATATACAGGGTGGTGACTTGCGTAACGCATCATAGGGATTTCAATGTAAAATTCATAACATGCGATTATTGGCTCCCCAAATTATTTTAGAGTAAAAATGTATTAAGGTTTTTTGTAGGAAAAAATTTTTTACGTCAATCAACCCTATTAGTTTTCAATTTTTTGCATAATAAAGGCGGAAAATTGGAAAATAAAAACCCCATCTTTTTCAATAATCTGCGATGCCATGGAATTTTTTAAAACAAAAAGATATCCAGTTATCAATTAGCAGCAGTTCGAAATGGCTTTTATGATCGACTTGGTTACTGTATTGCAGTTAATGGTGACTTATTCGAACATTTATTGTAAATTGTTATATTAGGAAACCGTTTTTAGTAATTTGGTCTTTCTTTATGTTGAATTCGCTGTTCTAAATATAATACTTTTTGATAGAATTTGATTTGTTTTATAGCGGACATTCCATGGCATGACGGATATTGGCGTAGTCTTTGTATTATAAAATTCCATGGCATCACAGATTATTGAAAAAGATGGGGGTTTTATTTTCCAATTTTCCGTCTTTATTATGCAAAAAATTGAAAACTAATAGGGTTGATTGACGTAAAAAATTTTTTCCTATAATAAACCTTAATACATTTTTGCTCTAAAATAATTTGGGGAGCCAATAATCGCATGTTATGAATTTTACATTGAAATCCCTATGATGCGTTACGCAAGTCACCACCCTGTATATATCGCCCTTAACCATTGTACCAACTTTCGTGAACTAACATTTACTTTTGCTCTGGAATTGAACAAAGAATACATTATTTTCCATAGGCGGTTTAAACGTATACAAGAACCTTAAGTTTTAAGATTGTTGCAACAAATTTGACACTGTTTGGGGTCAGTTAAAACAGTTACATTTTTAAAACATAAATAGTGAATGCGTATACGCGTTCATAATATAAACGTTCTTATTGTCTAATGTGAGAACTTTATATTAAATCTAACTGGAAGGATTAGTTATCTCCTTTTGCTTGCTTCTGTAGTAATTAATTAGGGCAGTCTCTTTCGTTGTACTGCAACTGTTAGTGTGACCAAAAATGAGCCTTCAAATTTCGGTTCTGTAAAATGCAGGACATTGCATTCCCTGATACCAGTTCCGCGTTGCGCCGAATTTCGGTCTCAAGTACTGCCATTTATCGCTCGTTAATAAGTAGACCGAAAATTAAGGGTTCAATCATCGAAAAAAAGTAAGTAAACCCTCACCCCCAACGCCAATCCGGCCGGGAAACATAAAATGTGGACTTTTATAAGGACATTTGTCGTATAATGGTGGTGGTGGTGTCGTACTTACTTTTATAATATATTTACTTCACCTTTACAACATAAATTGAAGTTAAAAATAATTATTATACAAATTGTGGTTCAATTTGAACCATTTTTTTGCAGGTGTCTGCAATTTATGGAGCAAAAGTATTTTTTTCTACGAAAGTGTAGAAACACGATTGTTTTTGTAGGTAAATTGATTGTGAAAACAGGTCTTTGAAACACTAGTGCGGCAATAGTGTATTAAAGTACAAGTGTCATTTGACGAAGATTGTCGCACGAGGTAGTTTGCCGCATAAGCCGCGTAGCGGCGAATGCGGCAAAAGCCGAGTGCGACAAGTAGACAAATGACACGTGTGCTTTATACTATTTTTTCTATTTCGACTTTTATTTTAAATAACAAATTATACAAA